TCCAGCTATCCTCCGCTGATCACCACAACTCGCTGACCAACTGGCGCGAAATGTTAATTTGGATGCGTATTGAAACGTCCAGAGTTCATAAAGTCAAGCGGTCAAAAAGTCCAGAATCGCAGCATCCAGCGTTCATAAGATCCAGAAAACGTCCAAAACCCCTGGACAGAGGATAATCATAAAGTCCAGTGTGCATAAAGTTCAGTGTTCATAAAGTCCAGCGTGCGTGAGATCCACGGTTTGGGATACTGCCCCACTTTCTCGCAACCCTTTGCTTAATGATTCGGAAATTGCCCGGTACAGGGCTACCGGAGGTTCAAGGTTACAGGTAGGAGGTTACAGGAGGTTAACACAGATTCGCCCGTCTAAGCCGACGAGTGACGTTATGCCGTGCAGTGCTGCCCAGTTAAACCACTGTGCATGGATATTGGCGACGTTTTGTTCGAGCGCACAGACTTTGCCGCGTCAGCACGCCCTTGGCAGCAGGCGCATTACATAATTCAAAACTTTGATCCCTGGCTCGTAGCATCGGAAATAGCTGGTTACTCGGCAGTAGCTGCACGGTAATCGTGGAAAGCACTCGTCGGGGTGCCTGCTGTTCGGTATTGTGGGCTATGGATCGGATTCTCCGGGGTATTTCGTTTCGTTATTTACTGTATGTGTTGGTGATGATTCTCATTTTTTAAAGGAATTCATGACTGATGTGTAAGGCTGACTGATTTGGTGTCTGCTCCAGGTAGGCGCGCAGATACATCTCCAGCTCCTAGCATGCTAACCTACATTGTTAGTAATTATATTTGACTGATTCCCCTCCCTCCTCCAGTTGCAAATTCACGTTCACACGCTGCTGCAAACGGAACTTATTCTGAATTATACATGCCTTTGCTCTCCAAGAGAGGGGGTGGGCGCTGTCTCATCAGCTGAATCCGGATACTACTCCCTGGTGAGATACGTTCAATGGCCCATCCTACTCGTTTCTTCGATTAAGTACGTTTTAAAAGGGCATGGTTTACCAAGATAAGTTGGTTGGCTAAGCGATGAAAATACAACGAGGAGTACCGTGATAATGTACCAATGAATTGGTTTCTCTCCGAATTTAGCTCACTTTCTCACAAATCTGCAGGCTGCGACCCAAGTTACGCCAAGGGGGGGGGGGGGAACCCCTGCAACTAAATAGGGAACCGTACTACTGTTTTTTTAAAAAATTTGGTCCGAATCCTTTGAATGGATGGATTTCTGGGATCAGCGCTCACGCTAAGCAGTGCTTGTTGTGTGAGCCCTGACCCCCACCATCCGATCGCGCAGTTCCAGGCAACGGCAGAATTTAGTTGCGAAAGCTTTACGCGCCGCAATGCTCGGCACGGTCCGTCCTGCCCTCTGACGTCAACTGACCTTTAGCGCGACCGCTGCCACCGGCCGCAGGCCATACCTGCCAAGGGAAAATAGCGAGCGCCCTAAAGCGACTCGAACCCATCCCGCCACGGATGGGTGGGTCGGAATGTAGGCGCTCTAACCAACTGAGCCACCGGAACGGACTGAAAGTAAATAGGAAGTAAAAAAGTAAACGTTGACTGCGAATGTATTCAACTGCCTGCCGAACGTCACGCAAAACACTACGCACGTGCCGCGCTTAAAGGCGCTGTTGATTCACTATCTGAACAGCGGAGCCGAGTGTATGTCACTGAGCGATAGATAAGCTGAATGAGTTGGAAAAATGGTGAGCTTGTATTCGTCATCCACCTCATCAATCTTGACACGATTTCTTCCTTTGACGCTTCAGAACCTCCTAAGTATAGAATTTGGGGCCCAGCAACACCAGTCTGGAGTTTATCCAGACGGCTGCAGTTCGCGCCGCAGAGGGGCGATGGTGGCATGGTGGTTAGTGGTTAGGGTGCTCATCTCTGGACTTTTCTATCCTGGGATGGAGTTCTGGTCACACCACTACCGCACCCACGTACCTAATGCCTGATAAATGCGTAACAGAGACCTTCCGCCTCAAAATAGCCATAGCAGCCGGTGAGGCGTAATGCCCCAATTGGTATTACAGTCCTTCCTGACAAACAAACCGCCGCCCGCCAAACTTGCAGACAATGCTTCCGCTCAATCACTGCACATATATGGGAATAATAATGTGCAATCGGCTGGACGCGGAGCTCGCACACAGGCCAGCCCAGAGGCTGCCCAGCTCGACGGTCCAGTCGGCAGCCACGCTCGCGGCGGGTCGGCGAACGAGGCGGCCCGGTCGCGAAAAAAAATGAACGCATTCACGCGCGCGCCGTCCCTCGCCCAAGAGCCGAACCCCGCCCACGCGCGCGAGGCCTGTCCGTGGGGCAGCCCGTCCGCGGTCGAAACGCTGCCAGCTCGGTCGGGTACGCCGCCATCTTCGCGTCAGAGCCCGAGGCCCCTGACTCGGGTTCACTCGGTTCGCCGCGGTACACATTCCGACGGACCGGACATGCAGGCATGTTGGACATCCCGGGATCTCGCTCGTGCTGGACCGGAGCCGTCCCCCCCTCCCCCCCCCCTCCTCCTTGACGGGTGCCTTAATGGAAGAGCCTCATGTCAGTCGGGAATCAGCACCGGGCAGGGTCCCTCTGCCCGTGGTTTCCAGGGCCCAAATGCGTCGACCTGGGATCCCTGTGCTATTTATCAAAACCGTTACTCTTGGGACCGTTTTGAAACGGTGAGTGGCCCCGCGTTGATCCAGGATCAACCATTCCGGTTAGAGGGCCTTTGGCGTCAGAGAGGGGACCAATGTATCATGTGTAGTAATAGTAACCAGTTGGAAATCTGAAAGGGGACGGAAAGGTACTCCGGTCACAATCGAGAAATGCATGGGATCTCTCTCTCTCTCTCTCTCTCTCTCTCTCTCTCTCTCTCTCTCTCTCTCTCTCTCTCTCTCTCTCTCTCTCTCTCTCTCTCTCTCTCTCTCTCTCTCTCTCTCTCTATATAATATATATATATATATATATATATATATATATATATATACATGTATGTATATACATACATGTGTGTATATGTGTGTGTGTGGGGGGGGGGGTGTGGGTGTGGGTGTGGGTGTGTGGGTGTGGGTGTGGGTGTGGGTGTGTGCGTGTGCGTGTGCGTGTGCGTGTGCGTGTGCGTGTGCGTGTGCGTGTGCGTGTGCGTGTGTGGTTTTTGCAGCACGTAGTGACGGCGAATGCCGCCAAACCAAGATGATGTTGTCTGGCGTCCGTCGACAGCTTAGCCAGATCCAAGGGTATCTGCTCGTGGTGCTCATTGATCAGATGTTGCAGTGTTCAGAAACTGCACAATCTAGGCATTGTGATGGACCTATCTCTGTCATACAGCTGCCACATAGATCAGATGGCAAACAAATGCACCGGCATTTTAATAGACATTCTAAACGCTAGGCACTTACTTCCTTCATCCGTGTCACCTACAGGACCAGTGATTCCCTGGGTGTGTCCCAAGTTCGTTACGTATGTGTCTGTATATGTGTCTGTGCCCAAATGTATGGTAGCGCAAGTCGTTCAAATGTATCAAAAATGCAGAAAGTCTTCAGCTTCGCTGCCAGGGTAATCTCATGTCGCGAAAATATGATCACATGTCTGATGTAATCAGTCAATAAGATTGGCTGTCCGTCCACGAGTTTATTTCTTATTTTGATATCTGCCTGCTGCGTAGCATTCTGATCGCGGGAAAACATGTCGTGCTACGTTCTGATCGCGGGAAAACATGTCGTGCTACGTTTTGCGCTGCGTTCTGTGCAACCGTGAGCGCGTGATCCGAGACACGAGACAGATACATCATCTAAACTTGTCTCGTGTGAAAAACAACCATGGAAAGAGACGATATATGTATTGCGCGGTGCAGCAGTACAACGAAGAAGCCACCACTTGAGGTCGATCCGACACCTACAAGCGTCGGTTCAAAATTGGGATTCTTAGCATAATTCGACGAAGTTGAAGTTTCTCAGCAGACCTGTGTGGCGTGTGTTTTGTGGGTGGGATGGGCGGGACGGTGACCTGGTGTTATTAGTCACATGCAACCTGTACTGCAACCATGTAAGTTGAAGGGGTCTGATAACAGATCATTTGTTCGGGATCGACCCGATTATGCGCAGCACTTTACCATATAATACGTAATTACTCACTCACACAGAGGCACGCGGAAACAATTGAAGTCAGTGACTGTTTGAGGCCCATAGCTCCGCCGTTGAGTCATAGTTCGAAGCGACATCGCCGGATTTCATCTGGGCAATTCCCTTGCGCGAAGCGTCGTAGGCGTCACGTTGCATTATGAATAAATTGACGCTGGTGAGGCATAGGCTTCCCATGGTGCGAAGCCTAGGCTGAGACCGAATGTAGGGCCACCAGCCGCCAGAAAGAACTTATGCAGGGACCGAAAGTAGGGCCGCCAGCCGCCAGACACGCTTTTTGAACAAAGCAACATATCAATTCAACTATTCAAAATCACTGCGACATGTTAATGCATGAGAAAAATGCATTGCACGCGTAGACATAAAGAAAAGAGCGTGGCGCTCGGTTCTCTTCGCGAATCGAGCAAAATCACTGAACAAAACGGCAAGACACCTTAACGGGGTAAAACGAAGCGACAAACGGCAGGGTAACCGTATTTCCACACATCTAAACCACTAAAATGGTAGAAAACTGGAGAAGTTCTTTTACTTTGCGAACATTGGCACATTCGGTAGGGACAAAACAGCGGGGCTTTACCTCCATAATAGAAGCGAAAACAGAGCGGAACGTTTGAAGCATGTCGAGTTTTGTGAACCCACCACAAATTGTTTGACTGGTCCGAAGTAAGTCTCCACCCATGCATCGCACACGTGCCATTATCAGAAATATCGTCCACATCAATGTCAATATTGACGTCGAATGGCATTCCTTTTCAAAATCGGGGAACGGCACGGCCACATCGACAGGCTCAGAGGTAGCCTTTGCATGGATGGCCGGCGTCATCTAATGAAACCATCGTTCTGTTGTTGAGTTTATCAAATTCGGTGAGGTAAAATTCGATCTACACACCCCCAAAGACCATGCAATGAACAGGTGAACCCTTTGGACTAGTATTAAACGCACCCCCTAGGCCTGCCACCTAGCTTCGGTAGAGATGGTGTCCAGTATAGTGCCAGCGAATATCTACGGTTTTTAAAGTGAATAAGTTGTGGACAAATGCAAACATTTAACACGTAACAACTTTGCGAATAAGGATAATGGTTGTGTGAGCCGCCGTTTGATAAAAAAAAAACACACACACATGGGATTCGTTGATATTTAGAAACCGACATAAGCCGTAAAAACGTTAGCGTTTGTTACCTAAGACATTTCATGCACTTTATATTCCTGAATTGGGCTATCGGAGCCCCATTTGCTCAAAGGAAGATTTCTAGTGCTTACCCATCCCTCTGGTGTCCATCTTCGAGAACTGATCATATAATCTCTAAATGTTCTGATTTTCTCGACGGACCCGTTGGCAAACTCTGAGTCCTTCTTCACAAACAGCCAGTCCACAAGCAGGGGCTCGGCCCAATAGCCGTTCATCTCCATGATATCTACGATGCCTGGAAGCTGTGGGTTCCATCTCGTTCCCAAGAAAACCTCCACGGATACAATCTGGAACAAGCCAAGGGTCGAGACCGTCAAAGCAAGGGTTTAGGTGGGATCTACGGGGAAAATTCTCGGGGATTGTTCATCTGCAACGGGCAACAACCAACTGCTACAAATTTAAAAACCAACAGCTCTGCATTCAGACATGTCACACACGAGCACTTCACTATTGTCTCATTTGCTGCGATGAAACCGGGCATCACTTTTCTTCGCGTCATAACTAACCACAGGTATCACAATTGCTCGTGTCTCACTTTTTGCATGACATCTCTTAGCACATGAGCCCTGTTGCGACAATGTCTAGACACATAATTTTGGATGCACTTCACAAGACGTTCACAGGATTTCGAAGACGCTTTGCTCCACATGCGGGAAATATCGCAAGCAAATCATTCGCATCAGGGTTGTAGTTTCCCGCCCAGTTCGTAGGGACTTTAGGCGCTCTCCCAACTTGGGCGTGATCCCCCCTAATTTTGAGAAGATATTGGGTTAACTCCGCAAAGAAACACGTTTGTTGACGGTGTTGTAGGCAGGTTGTGCTATTTTTCACAATTCAGCTCCCCAACTCATTTCTTTAAACTACGTCCCTAATTCGTAAGCGCATTTCTTCATATCGCCATTTTGCGTATAAGTATTTTTCACAAATCCAGCTGGGCCATATGATTGCTTTTGTCTTGCATGTAAGAAAATGTTTTTTGAAGAAATGCAGCGATCGACTCTCTTTTGGCACCCTTTCTCTCACCTCAGCGTTCACCCGCCGCCAACCAGCTGGACGAAAGCGCGTTTGCCAGTGGCCCCCTGTCGCTCACCGCAATGCTCACCTTGATATCCAGCTGCCGCCAGGGGATACTAGCCAGCACGCCCATCTCAACCCCCTCCACATCCAAGCTGAAGAAGTCGACTGAGCGTGAGCCGAGTGCGGCCAGCACAGCATCCAGCGGGTAGCAGGGGACACTGTACTGACGACGCTCCGACATCGGCTTGCCGTAAAACATGCCTTGCTGATGCTGGGACACGTCCGACCACGACATTGATGTCACGTTATCTTCGAGCGTGCCGAGGAATGCCAGCTCCTGGAACTGCGCCTGCCGCAGACCGTAGCACGTACAGGTGTGAGGTACATGGCGAACAACGAAGGCGAGTTGGGAGCGAGACTATCCGGGTGCTGCTGATTGCGGGGTCTCACGCTTAGGTCATTAGGAAGGAGCTGTTCCACATTTGTATGACGTTTTGGACTGAGACAGCCATTTTCAGATCATATCCTGCAGTTCATGACCGTGCCCTTTGTAAGACATGAAATTCTCTCGTTTCTGAGCTATGCGCCTGGGAATTCGTGCCAACCATTTCGTGCCACCTAATTGAAAGTCGCCCAGAGATGTCTGACATAGAAACGCCACTCCAACATCTCTCCTCAAGTGCCATGTAAGAAAAGTATGGTCATGTTCGTACCTGAATCGTGTCAGCACGAATTCCTGCATCAACGAGCAAGAGTTGACTTTTAGTCAGCTTAAAGAAGCCTCTCAGATGTGAAGATACTGAGACAAGCACCAGATATGATGAGATAACCTCACTTGTAATAGTGGTCTGCATACAATCTAGGCACACAAGTTTACTCTAGACAACAAAATTTTGCTTTTTCATAATTATGCTGCCTAATGCGTCATCCTCTGATTGCGTAATGAAGCGCCTTCGTAACGTCAGAGCCGCTGTCATATTCGCTGTGTCAGAACTGCTACTGCAGCAGACGGACTGACCCACTTGTAGTATTTTAACTTGAAGAAAGGTGGGGATGTTTGCTGCTGCGTGTTCCCTAACCCCAGTATCGTTATGTGGTCGTGCTTTGACCTTTCCTCGTGGTGTTGTACATATGACCGTGATTTTGTATTGTTTACTTTATTCACACATTTGGTTATGACGCCATTCTCAAGTTATTCCATTCCTAGTGTTAACTCCGTCATAATTTGTACCACTGCACAATTTTCTGCATTTTGTGGTGTGACACGTGATTCGTGTTCGAGGCTTGCACTCATCGCATTAAAGTGGTTGAAAGCCAACTAATGAACGCTGATGCCACGGGTCATGCTGACGCACGCCGACCACGAATTATTGGAGGATCATATTTTGGGGGCCTTGATCACAACACGACCAATCAGGTGACGGTACTCGCGCGACGATCTTGAGGTCTTGTTGGCACAAATTCACTGGCGTTTTCCGTTAAGCTAAGCTAAGCTAAGCATATTCGCATTTTTCCGCACCCTCATATCTGATGAAACGTTTGACCCTGAAGGGTGGCCTTGAAAGGTCAGGAGTTTTTGACGGACGCTAGTTTTTTCTGTGATGAATATTGTAACATTTTCAAGCTCAAAATCTGCCGATAATTTTTGGTGGTGTGGAGTTTTCCGTCCTTTGAGCACGCGTTTGACTTTCAAGGGTGACCTTAGACGGTCAAGACTTTTTGACGGGTGCCAGATCGTTCTGTGGTGAATGTTCTGGTGTTTACAAGGTGGAAATTGGCCGGTAATTTTTAGGTGATATGGCGCTCTCCGTTCCCTGAACCTAAGTTTGACATTGAAGGATGACCTTGAGATGTCAGGACTTTTTGATGGACGATAGTTCTTTCTGTGATAAATATTTCAATATTTGCAAGTTGAAAATCTGCCGGTAATTTTTGGTGTTATTGAGCTCCCCATCCTTTGCGCCCACATTTGACCGTGAAGGGTGACCTTAAGGGGTCAGGACTTCTCGACTGACGCTAGCTTTTGCGCTTGTAAATGTTTTGATGCTTGTAGTTTTCAAATCGGCCAGTAATTTTTGGGTGACAGCGAGCTCCCCGTCTTCTGACCCAGCTTATGACCTCGACAGTGACATGATATTGCAAAATAAAGGTAATTTTCGATGTTCTCGTGTCATAATCCACTTCGAGATTTTTGTTCGAATTAATCGGAACTCGTCACTGAATCATCGCTGATTAAATCGCTAAATTCATGGACATTTGGCAACAGGAGAGGAGTTAGTTAGCAATGTCGAGAATAAGTGGCTTTCACGATTACGCACAGGAACTGGGTGTTACAGCTCATTGCACATGTCCGCAAAGAACGTGGCGGTACCCAGTCCGTCATCGTATAGCAGAGCGAGGGAAACGCTGCGTGCTGTTGCTGCCACCAGATCGCAGCACCCACGTCCGAGGCCTGTCGCTGCGACTCACTTACCTCGTAGGAGTAGGGCCGGTTGCTGATACAAGCCTCCAGGAGCCAGGCGTGTCGTCGCTTGGTCACCATCTTAGCGAACAGCTGGCGGGCCGGCTCCATCAGCAGCCCGCTCCAGCCGTACCGCCGCTCTAGCAGCAGCGTGTTCGACATTGTCTCGCCGTCGAATGCGCCGCATTCCACGAAGAAGCCACCCGTCTGCCGGCGCCAAGTCACAGGTCAATGAACTCATTCACAGACGGCAAGGCGTGCCATCAATCTCTTCTTGGGGCCAGATATTCTACCATCAAAATGAAATGGAGGTTCTCTCTCTCTCTCTCCCTCTCTCTCTCTCTCTCTCTCTCTCTCTCTCTCTCTCTCCTCTCTCTCTCTCTCTCTCTCTCTCTCTCTCTCTCTCTCTCTGCTCTTCTCTCTCTCTCTCTCCTCTCTCTCTCTCTTTGTTACTTACCTTATTGTTCGTCAAAGACAGAACAAAATCAGGCACTCCGTATTGAGATTGATCAGCTTTTTCTGAAAAGAGCAAAGGTGTTTCAACGAGATGCAACAGCTGATGAACAATCGCTTGACAGACTTCTCTATGCCGCAAGGTCAACAGGTGAATCAATACGTGAGCGGTTGCCTGCCTGAGGGTGCATGTGAGCTTTCCGTGACCTCCTCTCCCTCACTCTTTCACTCTCACTCTCTCTATCTCTCACTCTCACTCTCTCTCTCTCTCTCGCTCTTCTCGTATCTCTCTCTCTTCTCCTCTCTCTCTCTCTCGCTCTCTCTTCTATCTCTCTCTCTCTTCTCTCTCTCTCTCTCTCTCTCTCCTCTCTCTTTCTCTCTCTCTCTCTCCTCTCTCTCTCTATCTCTCTCTCTCTTCTTCTCTCTCTTCTCTCTCTCTCTCTCTCTCTCTCTCTCTCTCTCTCTCTCTCTCTCTCTCTCTCTCTCTCTCTCTCTCTCTCTCTCTTCCTTTCCCAAGGTGCTTCTCCCAAAACAGGCGTTTTGATGTCAACTCTGCCATGCACTGCTTCAGTCTCCAATACAAATCATGGATAAGTGGGTACGAGATGAAGTATAACCATGCGCATTGCCACGCACATCGCGGTGCTCATTATCACCATCGTTATATACGGCTTCTTAAACCGTTTCCTAGATAGATTTAAATATCGGAAACAATCTAAACGCAGCTACGCCCACCACGTTCAGCAAGTATCTATGTTGCACATAGAGGCCCGGGCTGGCGCGTGTCTCGTCTCACCCGACCGGGTCAGGTTCAGGGGTCCTTCCGACGGTGTTCGCAGCTGGCGCCGTATGCGTCTCATCAGCAGGCGCTCGCCGGCCCGCAGCGGGCTGCGATCTTGCGGGCTGGCCGTGTCCCCCCACCTCCCGTGCAGCACCGCTGTCAGCCGGGGCGCACCCGTCAGCAGCGCAGCGCACAGCGGCCGCCACCACACACCGTGTCGCCCCGAAAACAGGGGACGGCGATCCGGAGGGGCTTACCCTCGAACGCTATTACAGCAATTCAAGACAGTTTGTTTTGCGAATTTAGACTTCTTGCTTCAGGTTGACATAGAAACATCAACTTAGCCAGGCTCGTCACAACACCAGAGGCGCATTTTCCTCGGTTCCTGTTTATCAGGACTGGTACTTTTAGTTCTGCATCGGGTCAGGTGTGACAACAATATATCATATCGCTGCAATAGTACAGGTTGCGGCAATATGATAGAGCACTTACAGATATAATTGATGGCAGACAACACCGCAGTGATGGTGAGCCCTTCTCGTAGTGATAATGAATAGATCATTATGCCTGGCCTTCTCAATTTGAACTTGAGAATACAAGTGCTGATTATAATGGCAGCAAACTGGAACCAAAACCTGTAAAGACAATTGCAATTCAAGCTTTCACATTAAATGCGAATCCCCCGGGAGCCCACCAGTTTCATTTCAAAGACAAGGGCTAAATTAAACTGTTCATCGCTTGACAGCCAGAGGTGCACCTCTGACGTAAAGCCTCCTTGAAAGCTTCCGTTTACCAGCCTGGCCCGGCTCAAGGCTTTAAGTTACTTTTGTGATAGGACCTAACATTGTGGGTCTCTAGCAGGCTGCGATACACGTTAAAGGCTATATATATATATATATATATATATATATATATATATATATATATATGCCTGTGTACATATATCTGCATATATATATGCTGAAATGGCATCCGTCTTCACCCCGGTGTGGTACCAGCATTGGCCTGGACAGTGGTAAGCGTCAGTGCACCATCGTAGGCTATAATCACAATTCACAACCTACTTTCAGACCAGGCGAAGCCAATCGTGAACATCCTTGCTGGCTTCATCAGTCTCACAGCCTATGGTTCCCCATCGCCCATTCAGTGAACGTTTTTCAGTTTTTTTTCTAGCCGGAAAACGGTTTCGCAGGGTTCAGGCTTCTTCTGAACGACGATTTTTATGCCCTGTATGATGTCTACCAATTTGTTACCCCGCGGTGAGCTTAAATAAGTCTGCGCCAAGGTGACCTAAGCGTGCCAGGACAGATCTCCACGAGCCCTCCGTTGCGAAACACAACACTAAACCGAAGGGGCGACAATATTTATACATGATTGATGTCCAAGCCGATGATACAATGGCCTAAACTTCATACAAGTGTCTTTTTCACAACATATTTTCTCAGCCCACTTTGTTTTGATCAATGCTCATCTTAATGTGCGTTTTTGCATCGCTTGTGAAATAGTTATTGATTTGAGCAGCATAAGACAGCAAACAATGCCCAGTACAGGCAAGTGCCAGCTGCCTTATATTTTTCGACAACCTTTGTACTTTTCCTTTCAAAAATATTACGAGTCAAGCCAACGTCTTGGGGCCCCACTCGGCGTCGGGGAGGGGGAGAGGGAAAAAGCTCCTTACCAAATAATACAAATTGCCACCCCTGCTAACCTGCTGAGGCTGGTAACTGGCAAGATCAGGCTGCTGTGGCTGGTAACTGGCAAGGTCAGGCCGCCTTCGGTGTCCGCCACGGCTATCTGCTGTGAATGGACCCAGGTACGGGCGGCGAACACCAGCGCTGCACTGCACTGAGTGCAGGCCAGCCAAGTTTGTGTGAGTCCTGGGCTGGCCGGACGCTGCGACGGCCGGGGCAGTGACCTCCCCGCCGGACGGCCGTCAGTGGCGTGCAGTCCGCGCTGGCCTAGCGCGGGCACGGAATGCTGCATCTGCAGCGCTGCAACCCCGCCAGGCGCGCCCAGCTCGGCTCACCGCTCTCGTCGGCTCCTTCGTGGCGTCATCCGCCCATGGTGACGTCACATGTGGCACAGCTTCCTAGCCTTATGCTGAAAAGCCGAGCCCAGTTTGTTGCCATGCATTTACCTTACAGGTGTAGCTACTTGTCAAAGATCAAGTCATTGGACTTGATCTTTGCTTTGTGATATGTGCCCTGCTGCGCAGACGCGCAGCCAGAGCCTTGGCAGGGGACCGCAAAAGCCTTGACAGCACAGCAAAGTGGTGCTGGCTGGAATCTGGTGGCGAAACTGGACGAGTAAAGGTAGAATATATATATTTCGTGGTGCTGTAGCTGTTCATCTGTCCGGAGCACAACCTCAAAGTTGGAAAAAGATACGCCCAGTTTTATCTTTGAACGGTACAAATTAATTTTGAAGGGTACTCGGAACCATTATATTACGACGGACGTTTCCGCGTGGGGCGCGCGTTGTTACTTGCTGTGGCCAACGGCGTTCGGTTCTACGGAACTGGAACCAAGGCCCAAGGCGCTGTCTTTGTTCCTGACATTTCGGGCGCGCCGGCTTATACCTTTCGATGTAATTTGTTTCGTTAAACGATTCTGCAAAAGGGTGAACGTTCTCAAACATGGGATGACCTTGTTTATTCTTTAAGTCATTTTGACACACACTATTCAACACTGATCCGACCAATTCTTTCTTTTCTGGCAAGGGGGCTTATTAACTAGAACACCTAGGGCTCATCACTGTTCCCGGTCAGGAGCTGAACGGCCATTCCGTTTCACTGCGTCGTGCCTTCCGGCTGTTATTCTGGTGACACGGGGCGGGATCCCTGGTCTATCCGGAGACTCTTAAAGGGATGCATCATGTCACATTGGTCCCTTCCTGGCGTGGGAAGCCTTTTGACCCACGCAGTTGACCCCAGATCGACGCAGGAACCCTAACTGACTCAACAATATCCCTGACCGCCGTTGGTGGTTCAACAATTGGCGTGTAGAATATAAGTTTGGCTTAACGGGCCCACGCTGGAATGGTGTTCTGCCCACCGTTCCGCCCATGGAGCGCCTTCCGTTCGGCACTGGGTGCCTGTCTGGCACAGAACCCTTCCACTGACTAAATGTGAACACTCGTCATGAGTTATGTTTCCTTTCGTTGTCAGACCTTCCAAACAAACGCAAGATGTCCTCTGTTATTCGGGGCCCCGTCCCCGTCCTTTTCCAGAATATGTTCTCTTGACTGACTCGAGGGCTCTTGCTGGCACAGAACACCCTGTTAGGCACTGGGTCCCTGACCGATACAGGAGCTCCGCATTACTGTAGGGGCCTGGCCGATGCAAAGAGCCGAGTACGACACGGAGCCGACTGTTCGTTGTTGGTGATATCTAACTGAAATAGAGGAACGCTCTGTCTCTGGGGTCGCGATCCTTCGCGGTCTATAGCCATGGGTGGCGATGCTTCGTGTGACCTACAGCCAGTCCTTTTGCCCATGTGCCCTCCTACGGAGCCCTTGATCGCCGGTTCCGATAGGCCGCCTGGGCTCCTCTTCGGGCCTTATCGAACACTGCTCTTGGTCGGCTCGGGCTGCCTGCGAACACAACTTTTTTAGGCACGGCGGGCCCCTCTCAGATACAGGGGCCCCGAGCATTGTGAATTTCTGGCCCCAGCTTTGTAGCTGATTGAGAAGTGGGCTCTCAGCCCCATACAGACACAGAGCTGACTTTGCGGGACTGGTGGTGCCTGACCGACATATAGGCCTACATCGACTCAGGGGGTCCCCGATCGGCTCAAAGAGCCCTCTGGCTGTCATTTGGGGACCCGTCCCCGCAGGCTGGTGCCCCTGAATAAGACCCAACCAACCCTTCGTGCTTTGAGGCCCTCCGATCGGGCTCTTCATCATCGGTTCCAGAAGACCCTCCTGGCTCTTCGGGCCTCCTTGGACACTGCACCTGGCCGACTCGGGCCTCTTGCCAACACAGAACCTCTACTAGGCGCTGTGGGGCCTTGACAGACACTGGAGCCCCGACCAATGTAAATCGCTGTCTCCTGCTTTATCCCTGCTTTAGGAATGGGCTTTCAGACCCATGCCCACACGGAGTCGACCGTGCGCTTTTATTGATGTCTGACCGACATACAAGCCCTTATCGATCCAGAACGCCCCTGATTAGCACGCAAGGCCTGATGGACGGTTTAGAGTGTCCGTCCCACAAGGCCGGGAACCTAAATTCGACCTCCGGCCGGCCTTTCAGATCCAAATCGCGGGCCCCTGTCATGCCGCTACCGCATTATGGCAAGTGTGAACCATGACTCACGCTGTTTTGTATTGGGAGGACGTTTTCCTCCACTTCCAGGGTTTCACTTTCAGAACATGAAACCGATTTCTTTTGCTGTCAAATTCAGATGACCCGGAAAGTTTGCGATAGATTTTTCCTGCGGAGGAAACGGCACACTTGCATTGATATGCGAGCCAACCAGACCTGTTTTATTCAATCCCACACGACGCGAATTGATTCTGGGTCAGTGCATTAGGGAGCCGTGTGATGATTGCATCAAACTTTCATAGATCAATTCATATCAGCCGTCGGTTCAAGGAAAACGATGTGACCGATTGTCGCACAGGATTATAGTTAAGCAAATCAGAGCCTGAATTATTGTTCAAAACAGCGTGCTACGAATCTCGATAATTTTTTTCAATACACGGGAATTATACAACATTGGTTGACGTGGCACATGCCAGCATTTGTGTAACCTACGTGGCTGATAAGATGCAATCAATGTATTCTTAGAACGGTTATAGGACAAGTCAAAAACAAAAAGTCAGAAAAAGGCAAATGGCAAAAAGCCAAAAGGCGCAAAGAGAGATAACTTAGAAGCAAAAGTGATAAAGCACAGGCTATATATATATATATATATATATATATATATATATATATATATATATATATATATATAGGGTCCCAGTGTTGGATCGGAAAAGGACCCTTTCACGTGATGGAAGTGAGTCTGGAAGTGACAGCCAGTTGGGGAATGGGCTTTAGCCCCCTCTCCCAACTGGATGAGAAAGAACGCACTGGGCAGTTGTCCTCACCCACGATTTTCCGCGATGTGATGCCTTGTAGCAAGTGAATACAAAATAATTGACATGGGTATCTCAGCTCACGATGATTTTTTCGCGATGTGATGTATTTTAGAGTACCTCCTTTAAATTCCCCCCACTATAGGAAACCCTGGTCATAAAGGAACACTCCTGCGACGAGCAGTGCCACACATTTCGAGCTGAAGAAGAGCTTTTCAGGTTTTGGGCACTATAGATAAAATGGAGCCTCCCGGCAGAGGAATCTGCTGGACGAGACTAGCTAATGAGTTTCCTGAGCCTTGGCGAGGAGAACAGTTTCTTGAGCTTTAGCGGGCTTTAGGTTACGATAGACTTCATTCTAATAACGTAATGATGCATTTCCTAAGCATACGTGTTTGCATGAACAATAAGGCAGGAACCACCAAAAAGATACGGCTATCAACCTACATAAACATAGATGTAAAGAGCACTCCCACATGTGAACGCGCAAATTACTACAATAACGCCACATAGATAAATGGTCATTCGCACGTGAAACAATATTGCTCAGGTACCATGTTTGAATATATGGTCAAGACATGTACATAGTTCGTTGAATAAACATATGATTGCATAGGTGGATTACATAAGTATCATATTATTACAATGCCACAATATATGACAATATATATATATATATATATATATATATATATATATATATATATATATATGCATATTACAGTAGTGCAGCTGTTCTTGTAATTACAGCATGCTCAGAAGAACGGATTTGAGCGTCGAGTATTGTCAAGAAACCAGTACTCGTTCCATAACTTCGTTTAACCCGTACCTCATTAAATATGTACGGCCCATTACTCAGCATAAGACACCTGAACTCATAACGCCCGAAAGCGAGGAACTGAAGGCCTTCCTCGCACAAATAAAATATGATTGCTCGAAGATTGCGAGCCTGGTAACTTTACACTTCCCTTGGCAGACTGCACTCTGCAGCTAGCCAGGCAACTAAATCACGAATCCTGGGTACGAACATGGTTTTCCCCATGGATGCATTCGACGCACAGGCCCGTTTGCTTCAAAAGCCTACTCACCTAATTCACCGCGATGCGTTATACTGGAGGAATCGGTGCTTTTATCATGGTAGTTATACGATGACCTGGTGGGAAACATTTCTTCTGCCAGCGGCACCACATCGGTTCACTTTCACGATTGTATGGTGACTGACCACCTAGAAACATTACCACTCGACCATGGTTCTTTCGCGGGACTTTGTGGCAACGCGGTCGTTAGTGTAGGCAGTTTATTGCAGCGATTTGCTTTCAGTGATTTTCGGAAGGTCTATGGGTTTCTCACTGCAAAGAAAGCCAAGCTTTTAGCATGATTCAGCAGTCGGAAGAGGGGTATGTACGCAAACGGCTAGCGCTAGCTGTGACAGTGGGATTGGTGGTGTTGGTGGTGGAGGCTGTGATTACGGTTGTCCCGAGACAAACACCAGGGCCCCGTTCTTGATGGGAAAATACCGCCAGATGCTCCGCCCCTTCAGGTAACAATCTGTGACGTTGCATATCTGCGTCATCTACGTCATAGAGAACACTTCTAGTAACTCGACATGATGGCTAGTAAAATCAGCTGTTTCCCAACAAACACGCTTGACGCGCTCAGAGATAATATCGGCGAGTCGGGACAGTCAAATGTACGTCAATGTACAAATG